CTAGACTCTCAAAGTCACTGCCGATTCTTGTGACCCACAGTCCAAGTCCTGCAGAGTCTACTCACTGTATCCCTAATGTCACTGTTCATCTTAATAAGCTGAGACGGATGAAACAAACACCCCAGATGGGGTGGTTTCTCATCATCTGGGAGAAAGACAGTTCAATAGTAGGGTCCCTGCCTGCCAGGTTCTGGTGGGTTCTCCTCAGCGTGGTAGGTGACATCACATGTGTTCACCCGGTCTTTTCATGTAATATGCACATGAAAGGGCATGCTTTGGGGTCTCCTCTTCTTCTCAGGACCCCACTGCTGTTGACTGGGCCTGTCCTTACAGCCTTGTTAACCCACCTCTGCACTAAGAGCCCATTTCCATAATGAGGTTTCAGTGAGTGAGTTTGGGGAGTGTGGGAATTGATACCGTTTGGTCCAAGACATAATTTTCTGCTTAAGCAGCAGCAACAACAAAATTAAAACAAACAAACCAAAAAAGGGAGAAAGAAAGAAAGAGGAAAGAAGGAAGGAAGGAAGGAAGGAAAGAAAGGAAAGAGAAAGAGAGAAAGGAAGGAAAGAAGGAAGAAAAAGAGAGAGAGAGAGAGAGAGAGAGAGAGAGAGAGAGAGAGAGAGAGAGAGAGACAGGCTACAAGACTACAGCATAAAATCTCCAGTAGCCAGCTAGGTTTACACAGAGAAACCTTGTTTCTAAGAAAAAACAAAACAACAACAAAAAAAGCAATTAAAATTTAAGACGGGCAGTGGTGGCGCACACCTTTAATCCCAGCACTTGGAAAGCTGAGGCAGGCAGATCTCTGTGAGTTTGAGGTCAGCCTGGTCTACAAAGTGAGTTCCAGGACAGCCAGGGCTACACAGACAAATCCTGTCTTGAAAAAACAAATCAAAAACCACAAATAAACAACAACAAAAGAACTCCAGTAGCTTTCTAGTCACCTGCAGAATAAAAGCAATGTCATAATTACAAACTATAAACTGATTTGTCTGTCCACTTGGAAATCTGCCCCAGCCTGGCCTATTTGTAAGTCTGACCTTGGACGAATGCTGTATCATAGACATCTTCAGGATTGCTCCTGATGCTCTGACCAGAACTAATCACTTCCTATTTTGAGCACACACACTAATACTTGTGTGATTATTAGTCTTTGGAAACAGTCTGGGAGAAATAAGTTATCAACTGGCTTTGCTCGGGGTTGCAGGAGGGTTCCCACAGGTACAGACATCCAGAGAACCATAACTTACAAAATGGGGATTAGTATTTTAATACTCAAATGGACACAAATAATTTTTAAATTTTCAGTAGATTGAAATTATATTTTATTTCAAGCTTTTGGTCATATTATATTCCTCAGGCTTTGACAAAACATCTCATTAAACTAGGAGTTTTGTTGCTAAGTATTTTAAATCATTGGTTTAATTCAACGACTTCATTTTGTACATGAGGAAAAATAGAAACTTTAAAGGGCCCCCCAAGTTTTTCCAACTGTTAAGTGGTAGAAACAAGATCAGTAGAATACGTGCAAACTCAGTCACCTAGATTCTATTTAGTGACTACATTCTTCTGAAAGATGTTGCCTTGCTACACAGTAAAACTCCTTCAGGGCGTCCTAACAACTCAGAGAGGGTACATCTTGGTGAACTCTTTCCCGAGGACACTGCTGGAACACAGCCACAGATACTGGGAAGGCTGTTTTCTCAGGAAATACGGAGATTCTGATTGAATAAGTAAGGTTGTCTTTCTTAGAAAGAGACGCTTTCAGGAAACCACGTGAAGTCTATAACATATCAGCAAGTACTGAGAGAGGATTTGAACAAGTACTATTGTCTGGGATTTCTCAGTGGCTGTATAAAGGTGAGATCATCATATTTAGAATACCAACAGCTATATCTTCTGCTGTGTATACTTGCATAGATGATACATTTGCAAAGGTTTGAGGAGTCAGAAACTGAATGCAGAGCGTCACATCACCTAACCAGGCACTCCTTCACGGGGCAGGAGGCGTCCTGCCCCACCCTACCCCCCTTTTACTTTGAGATAAGATCTCTCAGCTCTGGCCTAGAGTGGCCTTGAACCCTCGCAGTAGCCCCTACAGGGCTTGAATTTGAGATTTTCACACCTTGAGTCAGGATTCCAGGCCTTGCCGCCAGGCATGGCTGTAAAGTTAATGTCAGTATTTCTAACTATTGCTACTCTTGTTTTTCTTGGAAATTTCTCTTGAACCACACCTTCTACTCACAAGGTCTCCAAAAAAAAAAAAAAAAAAAAAAAATGAAGGAATATAGAGTGAGGGCAAGAGATTGAGATTTTCACACCTTGAGTCAGGATTCCAGGCCTTGCCGCCAGGCATGGCTGTAAAGTTAATGTCAGTATTTCTAACTATTGCTACTCTTGTTNCAAAAAAAAAAAAAAAAAAAAAAAAATGAAGGAATATAGAGTGAGGGCAAGAGAATTGTTTGTTCTGTGTTGTTACAGTAGCAGCTCAGTCTTGATAGCCGTGCAGCCCGACCTGGCTTCTCGGTGTGTTTAAACAGAACTTGCCATTTTAAAGAGATCTGTGTAATCCCAACACTCAGGAGGCAGGGGCAGGTGGATCTCTGTGAGTTCAAGGCCAACCTGGTCTACAAGAACTAGTTCCAGGACAGGCTCCAAAATTTGCAGAGAAACTACATATATAAAAGAGCCCTATGAAACTTGTCTTTGTGGGCAGGCAACAATCCAGGGAGGATGGAAAGCTTTCGGCCTGAGTTTGTCATCATGAAATAACAGTGTGTTTGAGATACTGCCTCACGGGCCAAGACAATGTATTTGGATTACATTTCTCATTCTTGTTGCACATCCCGGTGAGTCAGAATTATTAATGCCGAGAGTCGCACCAAGAAAGTGAATAAGAATAGCCTTGGAAAATATTGGAAATGCAACCAGCCATATTTGGCACAGATTAAGGAGTGTTTCTTTTCTTTGTTTTTGTTGTTGTAATTTTGTTTTTTGAGGCAGAGTTTCTTTGTAGCTTTGGAGCCTGTCCCGGAACTCTCTCTGTAGTCCAGGCTGGCCTTGAACTCACAGAGAGCCACCTGCCTCTGCCTCCCAAGTGCTGGGATTAAAAGCGGTGCCACCACCACCTACCTGGCTAGGAGTGGTTTTTGTAATAGGTGTAGTGGCTCTCTGAGAGAGAGTATGCCCATGAACTCAACATTATTTGTAGTACTTACTCGGCTCTAGCCATCACATTAGAAGTGGCATTACACAGAAAGATCATTGGGATAAAACAAAATTACTCCTGTTGCTATAGTCAGGTTGGGAAAAAGGCATGAAGCAAATAAATAGAGAACAAATTACAAAATTATGAGGAAAACCAGGATGCTATAAAAGAATACACTGGAAGACTTCACTGGGAAAGGTGATGCACAAGACTTCCTCTGTTGGGTGCTGGGTGAGGCTTGGGCACTCCATTATCCCCATTAGGTAAAGCAGGAGGAACCTCGCAGTGGGGCAGCCCTAGAGAGAGCGCTGACACCGTTGTGCCAGCGGGCTCAGATTCACCATCCCCACCCGCCAAAAGTGTTAGCAAAGCAGCCATTTTCCACAGGGCTGCCTCCTCTAACGTGCCTCCATCTCCCCACAGCTTGCAGGCAGGGCTGGTTGGTCATCCCAGATGGCTTTAATTGCATAATTGCAGGAGCCTCAAATGTTAACGGGAAATGGGACACAGGTCAGCACTACTCATGAAAAAGTAAAGTTGACAATAATTTCTCACTCTGAAGCTTGATCAATGCTGGACTCGCGAGACTTACATTTCCTTTTAAAACACTAGAAGTTCGATATAAAAAAAAACATTCACGACTGTATCTATCAAGCGCCAATCTTCGTGATTGACATATATGAATATGTATCTTCAGTGTTCCTCGTGTGTTTAATCCACACTGTAAACACAACATAATTTAAATATAATTTAGACATTAATATCCTTGCTTGCTCATTTTATAGATTTTTGTTATGAACTTTTATTTTTATTCATTTTCTCCAAAAAGCTGGTTGCACTACTATTTTGGGTCAAACAGTTCCTTAACATTCTAAATGATTTCTGTGTTCTTGTGGGATGCTCTCTGTCACAACCGCAAGCTACGTAAATCCATTTTCCATCTCTTATTTTTTTATTTAAGTAAACATTCTCTACCAGAAAAAAAGTCTGCTTTTCACTCACTCAAAACAGAAAACCTGACGGGCGGTGGTGGCGCACACTTTTAATCCCAGCACTGGGGAAGCAGAAGCAGGCAGATCTCTGAGTTCTAGGCCAGATTTCCAGAAGAATAGCTGGAAATAGAGAGCAGGAGGGCAGAGCTTGTCTCTTAAAAGGGCCTTTTGCACCTGCTCGCTCATAGACCACGTAGTGGCCCAGCAGCCATAGGACCCTGGCTGGCCAGGGCACTGCCTGAGGGCATCCTGCCAGGTGACAGGCCAGCATAATGCCTGACTCCTGACGCCTTGCTGCTCTTTTTCTTCCTTGGAGGGTTCAGTGGATGCCCATGAAGTCCATAGGTATCAGGAGATGTGCAAAAGCAAGAGAACAAGAGAGTAAATTCACACTTCAAACTTATTCTTTGGCCTCTCCGCCTCTCTAAGTAGAACTAGATATTACATATTCCCTTAGATGTCTTGTAGGTGTGCTTTACTTGTGTCTCGGTAGAAATACCTCACTACCATTGCAACGTATAGACACATCATAATTTAAAATTCTATACAAGTGAAATGCTGTCCCAATAGTCTATTCAGTGGGTTTCCATTTATTATTTTTATTATTATTATTATTATTATTATTATTATTATTATGGTTTTTTGAGACGGGGTTTCTCTGTGTAGCCTTGGTTGTCCGGGAACTCACTTTGTAGACCAGGCTGGGCTGGAACTTAGAGATCCACCTGCCTCTGCCTCCCGAGTGCTGAAATGAAAGGCGTGTGCCATCCCCTGACCAGCTTAATTTTTATTTTTAGAAAGGGAGAGTGTCAGTGCGGTCCTCCACTACCACAAATTGCGCAGTTGAGTTTCCCCCATCTGGGAAACCACAGGGTCAGCACACTTGGAATGCAATGGATGAGCTTCGCCCTGGGCAAACCACCTTTCCGATCATGGTGTCTCCCCTGTCAGGTAAGTATGACCCTGCCGGTGTTTATTTTACATCTTGGAAAATCATACTCTCGTGATTCTAATGAGTTTTTTCTTTTTTTCTCACTCTTTATATATTTTTTGTCCTTTGCTGCTTCAGTCTCTCTATCGTTGTTTATACTGAATCGAGACCTACATAGTTGTCATCAAAATGAAAGCAAAATCTGTTTGTTCCTGTCATCCTTATAATAATATTATTTTTGTAACCTCCAACTTACACAGGCTCTTTTTCTTATTTATATACAATACTGGCCTTAAGCCTGAAATACAATTTATAAAAAGGGTATTTTAAACAATGATGCGGGTGATTGTAGGTATTTCAAAAACAATAAACATAAAGAAAAACTAGAATTTTGTAGGTTTCTAATATTGAGAGATAGTAAGTTGCGATTCTTTTTTAAATAAATTTTGGAACATGCTTTGTTTTTTTTTCCTCTCATGGTGTTTTCCTAAGATAAAGCAGACTACCTCGAGTTGTATTCCAATTCTGCCTCTCCACATTTCTTAACCCCTGCTTCTCCATAAACATTAGACTCCTCACCCTAATAGTCCTTTTCCTCAGCTGATTCTGCACCGAGATTTTTTGCTTATTAATGTTTCATTAGCATTTTCCCAGGCAGTATATTTTCAGCATTTCTATTGTTATGCATATTACATTGGATTGCATGAATATTCGTGCCTTATTTCAAGCTGTCCTTGTAAAGCATTGGATTCTAGTCACATTTGTCTCGAGTTTTTGTTTATTTCACACAGTTAAAAGGCAGCTCGTAGACTGACTCTATTTTTAAGAGGTTTATGTCCCATTGTATTGATGGCAGTCTCCTAATACAAAGACACTCATTCCAGCTCTTTTTAAAAGTTCTGTTATTGGCTTTATAATCCTCAAGGTCGAGTTTCTTCTTAGTATGATTTTAGGTCTCATGACACTGGCTAGAACTAATATTTACAGTAAAATTATGAAAAGGAAGTTGGTCTAAATTCAAAGGCCCTGAGTGCCTCCGATGATTACAATGCCATGCTAGCTTCCTGACTGAGATGGAAAAATCACTAGTGCTATGAATTTCAATTCCATTTTCCTCAGAATCAAACCAAATTTATGTGCTGAAGCCAGGAGGGGGCATATTGCAAATGGAGTGCAAGGCCAGCCTTCCAGGAGTTCTGTTTTCAACTTTATTACATTCTCTAATGCTCAGACACTTGCCAGTGCCACTGAAGCTTTAGCCTCCCCTTAAGAAAATAACCAGCACAAGCCCAGAGCATCAGAAGGAGTTTGATTTCATCGCGATTTCTCTCATAATCAAGAGGATCGTTGTAGAAGAGGGCTGTGTAGCAGTGGTCCTGGGGCCACTCAGGTTGTCCTTGCCGACTTCTCTCTCCTCTGTAAATTCTCCTGCTGTGTTCACATTTTCTTTTTACTTCTTCTATGAGGCATTTTGCATCACTGACAAAATACTTGAGGATGGGAAAGCCTAGAGGGAGGAAAGGGGTATTTAGATTCATGATCTGGGAGGTTTCAGGGTTATCATCAGCTGGTTTTGTTGCAGTGGTCCTGCAGGGAGGTAGAGTATCATAGTAGCAGAAGCTTGTAAAAAAAAAAAAGACATTGCTGGTTTGAGAACAGAGAGAGACAGAGAGGAAAGGCCAAGGATAAGACATACCCTTCACAGGTCTTTCTTAGTGACCTGTTTCCTCTAATCAGCTCCCAGCTTCCAGGATCCATTGATCAAGCGAGTGTACTCATGAATCTGCTCACATCTCCCAGAACCCCATCCCGGAACAGCACACTGGGTACCAGTGCCTTCCTCAGATGAGCCTTTGATGGGGAGGCCACTCCCTCTCCAAACCACATTTCCATCTATCCACAATGCCTCTGAGTGGAGTTTTGTGTTGGTGCCAGTTTTAGGTTTCACAAACCTGCCTGCCTATTTTCTTCAGTTTCAATGATTTCTTCTCTCTGTTTCTGGTTCTCTGGCTGCCACACAGAATTTCCCTCCCAACCCCCCTTTCCTCTCCTTACCTCCCCTGTTTTATCTGACTTCTCACCAAATGGACTCCTGGATTTCTACACACCACGGCTTATCCAGAGTGTCATTTTCATTTGGAAACTTTTCCAATTGTAAAACATTTTTTCTTGTGTTCCTCCAGAAGCCATGACATTCTGGGCTCTAAATCTGTTGCTTTGGCAATTTATCAGGTGTCTGCGCTAGTCTCCGAGTGAATTTTACTGCTACTGTGTAAGGATGATTTACAGGCTGCGTGTTTTTTTCTGAAGACTCTTCCTTTGCTGTGTTTTGTCTCCGTTCCTCTTCCCTGTTGTCAATCCACTACTGCGCTGTAACAAGTTACCCTCAAATGCAGAACTTTAAATCACTGGCTAACAGTATCTGGGGCTTAGGAGCTTAAGAGCAGTTTGGAGCAAGGATTGGATTCTACAGGGTCAAGCTGTCACCAGGATTCATTTACTTGCAGGCTGGAGATTTAGTTGGAAGGCAGCTCCCACCAGGAACTGTTGACAGTTGACCTATGTTCCTGTCTCCTTACAGGAGGGCAGCTTCCTTCCCTGCACTTGTCTGAAAGTGAGCAAGAAGTCACATGTCTTGTTTCATCACCTAGTTTGGGAGAGACACTCCATTCCTTCCTTTGTGCAATTCAGAGCCTGTCCTCAAGGGAAGAACGTATCTTTTCCTCTTTTAGAAAGAAACGGGAGAAAAGAAAGAAAGAAAGAAAGAAAGAAAGAAAGAAAGGAAAGAAACCACTATGTCAACCTCTATCTTCCTCCTTTTATGGCAAGTCTGTTCTGTTGTTGTTTACTGTTTTATTTCTATTTGTTTATTGTGTTAGAGTCTCCTGTAGCTAGCTTTCAACTTCTGATCCTCCTGCCTCCTCCTCTCCCGGACTGGGGTTACAGACTTGGGCTGTCTCACTCTCTCATATCAATTCTTATTTGATGAAAGAAAGCTATAAGGTATTGCCAGTGTTGTTTTCTACCACATAAGGTGTCATGGTAACACCCCCAATGGGAAGAGAGTGGCAGAAGCCTAAGACCCAGGTACCTGACTGTCCTAGTCAGGGTTTCTCTTACTGCAATGAAACACCATGACCAAAGCAACTGGGGAAGGAAAGGGTTTATTTGGCTTATGCTTCCATATCGCTGTTCATCATCAATGGAAGTACAGACAGGAAGTCAAGCAACGCAAGAACCTGGAGGTCATGGAGGGGCGCTGCTTACAGGCTTGCTTCCTATAGTTTGCTCAGCCTGCTTTCTTATAGAATACAGGACCCTGTGCCCAGGGTGGTGCTACCACAACAGGCTGGATCCTCACATGTCAATCACTAATTAAGAAAATGCCCCTGAGTCTTGCCAACAGCCCAGTCCTATGGAGGCATTTTCTCAATTGAGTTCCTCCTCTCTGATGACTCTAGCTTGTGTCAACTTGACAAACTAGCCGGCACACTGAGTATCTCCAGTTCCACAGCTGATACCTGTGTAGGGCCAACCAATCACAAGCCTTATTCACTTATAGGAGCGTGTTACCCTGCTTGGCTTTCTTGGTATGAGTCTTGAAGACAGTGCCTACCTAGAAGCTGTTACCACTCTGATGACTGTCAGCCAAACCCTGCTACAGAGCTAGCTAGTGACCCCTGCCAACAACAGCTAACTAGTGACCCCTGCCAACAACAGCTAACTAGTCATCCCTACCAACAACAGCTAACTAGTGACCCCTGCCAACAACAGCTAACTAACTAGTCATCCCTACCAACAACAGATAACTAGTGACCCCTGCCAACAACAGCTAACTAGTCATCTCTACCAACAACAGATAACTAGTGACCCCTGCCAACAACAGCTAACTAGTGATCTCTCATAGAGGAATATATACCAAAACCTTAGTTTCTTCTTCCCCTTTGCTCTGTGCTATTCATTGGCCAAAGTCAACCACACTTACTGTAGTCTAGATCTAATGAATGAAAATAAGCAGGACTTTCCCCAAATGAGCTTAATACTACACCTCACACATGAACCTAGAATTATTAAACTTTGACATTACACATAACATGTATATTACATATTAGGTAAAATCTGATCCTAACAGGTTTTGAGTACCAAATATAATTTGATAATCCTCATGCTACCTTAGGAGGACAAACCTGCCTGAGAAAAATTCTATCCAGTGAGATATATTGAAGTGGGAGAGGGTATGGAGAAACCAAGAAAGACTTCACAGCAGCCTCACTCATGGTGCCCAGCGTGGGTGCCCTGGCCATGAACACAGGCATTTCCTTTGAAGAACACACGGACTCTGAACTTTTTGATCTGAGCCTTTGGATTATCAGCATCATTCCCTTGTGATCTCATCTCTGAGAGCGATTAGCCCTACTCAGATTTGTCCAACAAGAAAGACTATATCAGTCGTAGCGTACAACTATCCCAACCTTTCATACTCATTCTTCTTACTATAAACAACTATCCCAACCTTCCATACTCATTCTTCTTACTATAAACAACTTGGTGAGCTGGGGGCTTTGTTAGTTTGACTAAGTTGTGTACAACCGTAAACTGGCGACTGTGGACCTGGGAACAGACTCAGGAGCAGTCTCTGGGTTTGTGGCCAACAATGGTAGTCTTCAGGGGATCCCACAGTTGCCTCCCAGCCGTGTGCTTGCCCCATTCTGGTGGTATACTACAGTCTATACTAACTGCTTGCTCAGCTGTCTGACTCCACAGGGAGCCTCTGGCTTTGTGAGGACAGGGACTTTCTGACTTCCTAACTACTGAGATGAATAAATGGAATGAATAATTGTCAAATGTATCTGTGGACTTTCTAGATCATTTCTCCACCACCCTACAGCTCCCTGTAGACCAGTACCCTGCTGAAAGGCTCATCTGGAACGCTTGTTCTCAGTCCTCAACCTTCTGTTCTCTTCATTGTTCTGGGGTTTGGAGCTCACCAATCCCCAATCTGCTCCTAAATTGCTCTTGCTCTTATCT